ATATATATATATATATTTGGTGATGATTTCACTGATCTCGAAGCTAAGAGAGCCACAACAAAAGTACACCAAAACAAAACAGAGATCAATATATTTGGGAATACATTAAGAAAAAATGAAATATACAATGGCATGAATCATTGCTAAATGAAAAATCCAGCAAAACAAAAATATTACTAATTTCTTTGGACTTGTAACAAATACCTTAATGAATCATCAGGAACAAGTTGCTCTACCAAGAATTCGGTCAAATCATTACAAATTTATGAGAGAATTTAGAATTGAAAAAGTTTCACAACCTACTTGCACTACCTGCAATTGCCAATAAAGCACATCCATCTGGAATGCCCCATTCACAATAAAGAAAGATGCAAGATGCAAGGAAATGAAAATTTCAATGCCATTTTGACTTTAATACCAAGAAAAAGTGATACAATTTTGCAAAATTTTGCATGGTTTTGAAAACTAATGGCTGGAAGATAGAAGCTAAGGGTTACATTTCCTCCTAAAATACAGGATTTATATTAAATATAAGTTTTATTCAAAGTGATACAAGTTATTGAAAAAACAAAATTGAATAAATAAACATATTCATACAATTTTTTTAGTATAAAAAAATGGTCCCCCTTTCCCCCCTTTTTTAAGCCATTATATAGGTAATTTTCCTTTTATTTTTAAGTCATTATAGAGGTCGTTTTCAAAGAATTTTGAAGTCATCAGAATCTCAGGCCTGGTAATGTCTATATGTCCAATTTTAATAATTGAGTTTTCATATGTATAATCCATAATAGTGGTTGATGATTCAGGGGTATGTACTGACCCAAAATAAATAGCAAACAGATTCACATACTGTCCCGTATCAACTTATGTGGCATCAAAATACTTTAGGTGCATTAGACCTCTGGTTCCTGTAGCATAATTTGTGTATTTCTAAAAAGATTTCATGTCACAATTTACTGAATTTTCATTCTTATTAATGAGACATTCATTGTCAAAATGGCCAATAAAATATCAAAGGTTCGGAAATCAAATGGCGGCCTTTCTCCATGAAATGATCAGACCAAAATCGACATTTAACCACTTCGGCCATCCGTGTTATACAGCAAATTGGCACTTTAATAATCGTCATAAGGGTCAAAAGACAATTGATTTGATGAGACATATATTTTACAAATCCAATAAGACATGTGAAAAATTGTTTAAAAGTTAAAAATTTAAAAATCATGTACACACACTTCCAGTTTATTATCTTTATTAATAGTATTTGCGATTAGAATCACTCCAAATGATTTTCAATAAACTTTCTGGAATTCTCAATTATTTCCTGCAGCAACACAGAATTGTCAAAAATAATAATTCCCGACCAAGACTCGAATCAGGTAGACCTCTCTCTAAAGAGCTGAGCCCATATCCCACCAATTTAGCCACCTCTGACATCCCATTAGTACACAAGATAAATACTTCTATAATAGTAATAAGTGTATGGTGGTTTCTGTTCTAGCATTATGGAGCCGAGTAATTGAGAAAATGTGGAAAAAAAGAAAATGTTTTTTGGCTGACAAAATGAAAGTAACCGTGAAGAGAATGAGGCTTGTCGCAAAAGCTAGTTAAGAGTAATATGCCAGCTCTGAGAACGAAGACTTTTTGACTTCGTGACACTCCAAGGTTGGCAAATTGAACTATTAGGGGCATTGGGGATCCTCGGCACAGAACAAGGGTACCGAACGCAGCTGAGTGTATTTGTGTGGGCGGATTTATGACCGCGAAAAGGAGGGGGGATGAGGATAAAAGAATCCACAATCTAGGATAGATTGAAAATGCAAAGAATAAGTGTAAAGGAGCCTGGAAGGTTATTAATTTTGTTGCCAATAATGGTAAACAAGATGATATATGCTTATCTCCAAAAGAATTTAACAATGACCTTGCTTCTCCCTCTCTGACACAATAAACAGTCGGAGACAAAAGCTCGCAGCATGCACTGATGTCAACATTACAAACACATCTTCACTGGCGCAAAATAGAAACTATTTTTCGTTGAAGATGAGAACTTCTGACCGTGATTTTCTCCAAAAAATTTAAATAAATGACCAAAGCAGGTGAAGATTCATCACAGGAAATACCTCGAACTCCTGAGAAAATTAGAACGCAAATTATTGAGGAAGTTGTGAAGGCATGACTAATTCTCCTGAGATTGGCATTGCTTCATAAAATCTAGTGGCCGTTTTTGTAACTAATACCCCCACTCTACCCGCATTTCTTCAATCCATCGTTCAAGAAAGGCTGCGCGAGTAATACATACTAATACACGAGGTTATGTAAAGTCATACTTCATGTGTGTACCAGACATTAATTTATTATCAATTATTTTCCTGTTATTAGTCATGCGACTTATGTTTTGAAAATACTGTATTCTATAAGTTCTCTGAAAGATTAAATCAAAAAGAATTCATGCTAAGGACTTATTTTCAGAGAGTAGAATCATGAAAATATTCTGTACTTATGTCTATTTGTAAATCTCTCCCCAAACAAGGTTTTAACATTTACCAATAACATTTTCTATAATTTTTTATTATTAATCTCACTTTCATTTTCAAATTAATATATATATATATATATATATATATATATATATTATATATATAATATATATATATATACATATATATATAAATATAATAAGACATGCTGAAAATTTTGTGTTAACACGGAACTTCGTTAAAAATAATTATACATTTGATAGTTAAAGATTTTACCTGTCTGAATTTTATTTCAGCATCTGCTGCATCGTTCTTATCAGGATGTAATAAGAGAGATAATTTTCGATACGCTTTCTTAATTTCAGTAGAATTAGCATCCTTTAAAACATAAAATACATACAATGTAATACAAATATATTACCCCACCAGAGTGGGAGGCTTTTGCCCTGAATAGAGATGTTATAGGTTCAATAATAATAATAATAATAATAATAATAATAATAATAATAATAATAATAATAATAATAATAATTATATAATACAATTTTCTAATGTGAATAAAATAACATAAATATTAAAACACTCATTACCTCTGGCACTCCCAATAATGCATAAAAATTTGTGTTAACTTCTTCAACTAAATCAAATAATTCATAATCTTCTACATCCCAAGAATATGAAATTTGAAAAAGGCAGCTTAACAAAACCCATGATGCCCACCACTTCATGTGTTCTGCTGGTCAGTTCTAAAACAAAATTAAAAATACATGTAGAAGTTTAACATAAACACAATCAGATTTTATTGTACTTGTCATAAATTCAAGTTGCCCTGAAGGTTTTACAAGGAATTTGAAAACATATTTTAAATTATATTAGATTGCAACAGTGCAACAATAACCTTTCACTTGGTAACAAACCATTTAATTATGTTAATAAAAAAATTATGATAAGTTATGAACTATCTTAATGTAATTTTCACATCAGAATGCAAATACTTTTTTTAAACACAGACATAACAATAAGCAACTTCTAAATTATGTGAGAAGTATGTACTTCTTTGTAAAAAAGTTTGTAATGTCGTGACTGTCGTGCTTAAATCTATCTGAAATAAAATTGATTCATAACTACAATACTGGAAGACAAGGTATCTTATATTCCACGCCTGTGTACTGTGTGCCAGGGCTGCGGGATCAACGTCACCATGACAACAAACTATTCAAGATAACCCACCACAAACATTACACGTCGCCCACGTCACCGGTGGGTTCTCCCCGGTGATGAGACTCGCCCAGGAAATCACAACCGTTGCAGTTCAAGAAATTCACCCCACCGCATAGAGAAAGCTACCACTAGTGACCAACGAATGGTCAGACTGGGTCAGACCATCAATGGTAAGATAAGTACACTTGATGCTCTCTGGTGGAAGTTATGAGGATTTCGAGGTGCGGTATCAAATCCGACCTCTCTCTATTATACCATGGAAGTAGAATGCACATTATGGAAATAACATGGGAATGCGTGGGATATTTACATCATAGGACTACCAAGGAAGAATTGATACATACCTGTAACCTCTGTCTTTGGGCTGTATGCGAGGGATCTTTAAGTTCAGTTGAGCGCGCGTCTTTTAAATTTGTATGACAGGTAATCACCCCTCGCTACTAAATGAAATAAAAAAAACAGTTTTCCTAATAGATGGACGATTTGGAGTGATTCTATCTCTATAATCATAAGTAGATTTTTTCTTTAAAGATATCACCGATTTCGATGTCAATATTTTTCCTCGGAAACAAACTGAATATATTCCTTAAAACAACAATTGTTTCAAGTGTTAGGAGGTTCAGGAGGTAATTATTGCACCCTTATCGACGTTCTTCTTCTTCGTTGCCTTTTTTGAATGGATCAAATAGGCATTTTCATTGACGGGTGTTATAATACCCAAGGCGGAGTACTACTGTGTGCATGTGTTGTCCAGGTGTACAGTCATGCCTCGGTGAAGATCTCTGGTTGGGATGCTGAATCACTAATATCTATAGAGAGATTAGTATGCTTCGAATATCTAAATTATTCTTAAATTGAATTCGGATTTTCCGTAGTCATTTCGTTGAACTTAATTAGACAGAACAAATTAGTCTTAGATTTATAATGAGAATCCAACTCTTGATTCGTCAAGAGACAAAACGTGAGAAAAGGCACGAAACGAAGATGAAAGAAACTTCCATCTTGCACCTGTCCTAGCATTCTGGCATAGACTAATATAATGATATATCATTATACAATGATATATCAGGAGGAATATGATTATACATCATTACTCTACGATTCTGCAATCGCTCGAAGCACTTCTAGTCATTACTCCTACAAATGATTTTGCTGCAAACGAAATGGGCGGTTCCCCGTTGTACCAACTCAACAATTAAAGATGACAAACGACAACATAAATCTGTTATGTAATAATAAACGAACTTTATAACCTTACCATTTCAATAATACTTATTAATAATAATATTTTCAAATATGCAAATCATTTCGTTTTTGTAGGGGCGGAATTCCTCGTCCAACGCTACATAGGGCCCAGTGTATTAACTGTTAATAGACTGTGCATAGGGTTCCCCAGATAGCGTTGCCTCGTCCCGCTCAAGGCACTCGGAGTCGAAGTGTCAACATCAGAATTCTTAATACAAGAAAAACAAATGTTAACAATTTAAGAAAATTAGAAACAATGCATGAGTGACTCTCATTTCTATGAAGAAATCAGAGCATTAACCGTCTCGAAGATCATTTGAACATCTGAACACAAACCAGGAGACACGGCATAAAGAAAGAAAAAAATGCTCGGAATAATTTCAAGAACAAAAATTCTTGATTGCCACCACCTGTGATATAAAGAGCAATATTATTCATCAGGACTAAGAATCTAATTGAATACATACTATACTCTTTGGTTGAATCCGGTCGTCTCAATGGCCACAGCACGGGGCACGTACCGTATCATTATTATTATTATTATTATTATTATTATTATTATTATTATTATTATTATTATTATTATTAAATTCATAATTTGAGAAACTGAATGTAAGAAAAGTAACTAACGGAGAAGTGTTATTTGTACGGAAAACGTTGGTAGCTCTTTTTTGCGGGGAATTCCCGAATCACGTGATATCGAGGGAATGTGTGAGGTGGAGACCGGCCCGGACGGTCTTGTTGGTAGGGGGGAGTGGAGTGGAGTGGTTCTAGCAGAGGGCTATTGTCATTGTTCTCTGCTGATTTTCGGGTCTGGTTGGATATTACGTTGTATTTGGTTGCATTATTATCAGATTGGACGATTGTGGTCAAATAGTTGAGCGTTAGAGCCTCATTATTTATTTTGAATCGTGGGAAATATGTAAGTAACTATTTACTGAATTAGCGATGTGTAATTGTATGCCGTATTTGTGATATACCAGTCGATATAACTTGACGCATTTACTACTTAACATTCTAGTTGCTGCAAATGAACTCTAATCTATGAGTGCCTGAGCAAATTGAAGATAGTAGCAAAAACTCATTCCATTTTTTTTTTTTTTTTTTAATATGAGAAGGATGACAATATACTTGATTAATTGTAAGTATTTTACTTGAAATTAATTATTTAAACAATTCGTACCGATTTTTATGAATATTCCTCCCTTCTACATTCTTGATTTCATTTAAAAAGTATTGTATTTTCATTTTTTTTTTTAAATCTTTGGTAGAACCTGAGTATGTTAACATAGGAGTTTTGCAAAATGTGATCTGCAAATTTAATGTCTGTTATGTGGTGCGTTACTGTGGCATCTGCTCACCATTTACCAGCCTCATGGCTGTGTAGATGAATATGTTATCAGTTTCAACCTTCAACTGTGAATTATAATTTAAATATTTTTTAAATATAATTTTCTTGTGCTTAAGGAAGTGTTAGAATGTTTGTTGTTGATGTGAGTATATTATACTTCTCATTGTTTTTTGCATTCACAATAATTTAAGGTAATAAAGTAATAAAAACACTGTATTAAACAAGATATTTAGGAAAATTATAAATATTTTGATTATAAATTTTCAAGAGGTGTTAAGTGTGTGTTTTTTATTTTAAAGGTAGAGTGTTTCATGAATTCTGCTCTTCATATTTTTGTTAAATGTTCTCTAACTTAGAAATTTCCCTTTTTTCTCTTTAACTTTCTATATTATTCATAATTCACAGAGAGCTTCGATCAAATCAAAATGAAGTGGGGCCTTCCTCATCTACGTATCAAATTCCTTAAATTTAACTTTTTCCTCCTTTTTTTGCATTCTGTATATTGTCACATTTAAGTGTTGTGCAAAGACATTTCTTTATTTTCTTTATTTTTTATTTTGAGTTGATAAATTCTTTATAATTCTTAAATTATTTACAGTGGTTTGTTTTGTACACTTATGAGTCACCATTGTTTATAATTCATTTTTCAGTGATTATTTTGCTAAACATTGAAGTACATTCATGTGTTCCTTTATATGTTATTGGTGTTTATTCTGTAATTTCATGATTAATTTTGAAATCCTTTAATTGCAATTGTACAAAGATTCTATTACAATGAAACCTGGTTTAAGTGGTCATTTTTGGTTCTGGGAAGAAAAATGGACTTTAGTGTAAGAATTAACTTAATGGAGGTTAAGGAAATATAGAAAGGTGACAGTCTAATTTTTGTTTTAATTTATTAATTGTTTACTAAATATTGAATCTTCATAATATTAAAGATCCTTTTGGCATCAGCAATTAAAGAGCACATATAAGAGTGAACTTCTCAGTTTTTGAACTTTTCTTTTCTTATCACTTATTGTTTCTTCACATTGGTGGTCTAATTACACTTCAAGCTGAAGTTTTACACCCTGAGAAAGATTTAGTGCAGGCATGAAAATTATTTATTGTTACCAGAAACAAGCTAATCATCTTCAAAATGAGCAATTCTAAATTTCACTGTACTACACTGCACTGATATTGTGAATTGCCACAGGAAGATTCGGAAGAGAACTTTGCAAATTCAACAGGAATTTGTGATCGTCTAATATGATGTGTGCCTGACATCTGATCTTAAGAGACAGGTGTCTACTTAAAAGTGGGAATAATTACATGTGTCTTATGGGAAAATCAATAGGTTTCATGAAAAAATGACCATTAATGGTGGCAAGTTTGTAATTGAGGTGGCCATTGCAGATTTCTCTGAATAAGTAATTTTGTTTCTTTTTATCCTTCTATCTATTCATAGATCACTGTTTATTGGTATGAAACATGGTTATTCATCGAACTAATGCTCGAAATTATATTTTTTTACAATTTGATTAGGTACTAATCAAATTATGTTAATGAATACCTCGTAAAAAATTGTTTTTAATTATTTCCCTTTTTTTCTTTTCTTTCTTGAATGGAATTAACTAAAGTTATTCTGATATCTTGCTTATCTGAAAGCACTATTATGGTTCTGGTATCACTTTTCATTCCTTGATAACCACTTGAGAACAGAGGTCAGTCACATTTGTCAAATGTGGCTTGGTTATCTATCTGACTCAGCATTATCAACTTCCTTGATTCTGAAATCCCATTGTTATGTGATTAATTCATTTTTCTGTGAACATCAGGGCCTATCTTTAATAATAATAATATTTTATTTCTTATAGGCTTAAAAAAGGATCAAGCAAAATCTGCCTAGCAATTCATTTAAATTACAGTAAGAAATACATTTTTTAAACTACATTAACTTACATTAATGAATTATAATTATTTAACATTAACATCATAAATTACATGTTAAAAAGATATGTAAATGAATACAATAAACTTTTTATTAATTTAAAATATAACAGGAATTAAATTAATTTACATCAACTTAAAGTAATAATTCAAAGAATTATAAATTAAGTACATGATAAATAAAACATGCAAGTGCTTACAAGAAACATTAAAATAATATGCATATTATTTTGAACAACACAGTTCTCATTTAAAAAGAAAAAATACATTACCTATTCATTACTAAACCAGCACATTATGATAATGGCAAATAACTTACATTTATAATGAGTATTTTTATTTTCTTACAGTAGTAGTTTAATTAACTTACAATAAATTGAATACATTAGATGTTAATAGTAAATGTAAGTGCTTACAATATGAAATATAATTACAGAATTTACATTACTAATAGTACATTGCCATAAGTGTGGTCACTCTTGCAACGGTAGGTGGTTAACAATCACACAAAAGTTAAAGCAATTCGAATATCTTATATGGACACACACATAAAGTGATGTTTAAGCATTGGTTTGAAGTATTTATTATTAGCTGAATTTATGGTAACTGGAAGATCATTAAAAAGCCACACAGCAATACAGAATGGATCTTTATTAGTAGAAGACTTGCTAGTGTATATCCTTTGATAACCCATATGTCCTCTAGTATGATATTTTTGTATCTATTAAGTATTCTCAAGACATTGATTCTGAATATTTCTCAATAGTAGTAATTCTTTGTGAGAAGAGTGCTCCAATCGTCAGTAATTCATTTTTGATAAAGAAAGCTTTACAGTACTGTCTCAGATTCTGTTTTGAAAATGATTCATTTCTTTTGTAGGACCATTAATCTATCCAAATTTTTTTTTGTTGCACCTCCCGATATTGAAATTGTGAGAAGAATATGCCATAATTATTTGAAAGATGTGCATCTGTTTCCAGATATCTGGAAAAGTATCTCAAGAGGAATATATTTGAGTTTATTTTATTGCAAAGTGTGTAGACACATTTGTTATATGTTAGGTTCTAATCTATGAATATTGTGAGAAACTTATGACAATCAGTTGGAATCACTGATTCATTATCTTTATCTACTTTAATGTTTTGGAGGTAGTAACTGTGCTGAAACTTGAAATTGATTAATAGTTTTATTAACTTTTAGTTTTAATTTATTTATCAACAAATAATTTTTAATTGATTTTAAGGATTCGGTCAGATTAGTTTCTAGATGACAAAGATTTGCCTACTGCTTATTAATGTAGTGTCATCTGCATAAGAAATTACAAAGAAATCAAAGGAGATTAATTATAATAATAATAATTGTGATGACCCCTCCTATGTGAATGCTGTCTAAAGAGCATAATTCACTTAGGAGAGGTTGTCACGTGCGAAATGATCTGAGTGACCAGAAGGGGAAGGGGGTTATGGATGGAGAAGAAATAATCATGATGTGGCTGAATTTACTATATGTGGAAAACACCACGAATGATAGAAGAGAGATGAGAAAGAGAGTGAGAGAGAAGGAAGCACGATGAAGCGATGACAAAGATGTTGAGTGCCCTCACGCCTTTTGCTTTTTACCATTACCTCCAGTTCTCTGACAGGCATCTGGTTGCTGCTGCTAGCCATGTCATTGTTTCTTCTTGCTGTGGCTGTCACATGGGCGTCAATGTGGGTGGTGACACAGCGTCAATACACTCACTACAGGTAGAAAACTGAGCATGTCGCTTTGGGAAGTCCCTTTAAATACTGTGCCGCTTATTGAGAGAATCTCCTTGAGAGTCATTTTGAAAGCGGATGTCATTATATTTTCGAGTTTCCTTGCTCATTATGTTCGGCCACATGGCGATGAAATATTCATAAAAATTTATAATTTTTTAATAACGGTGATGGAAATTATTTATATTATTTTGTTTGGTTCATTCTATTTGGGCCGCATGGTGATGAAGTACTTTTAATAGCTTATCATTTTCTACTGTGATTGGTAAATGCTTAATAATAAATTATATTAAGTATGCTCATCACATAATAACAACAACAACAATAATAATAATAATAATATAACAAAATATTTGTCACAAAAAGACAGCACATGCCATGTACAATTCGTCAGAATATGTACACTCATGTGAACATCAAGCCTCGCGTCGACAATTGGAATATTATTAACATATAGTAGACATCAAAGGTCTAACCACAGATCCACAGAATAAAGAAGTTTCAGATTGCTAGATAATCTCTGTACATTGTTTATGTCCTTTGAGGTATGACCTAATGTCATTAACTACACCCATTTCATAAACAAGTTTTGTCAACAATTTTTCATTTAATACTCTATCTAATGCCTTTGAAAGATCAATTTAATCTGTTTTCCTATTTGATTCCCAATTTTCAATGATTTTATGTACAAATTCAACAACGGCAGAGTTAGTGGAGAAGCCCTTCCTGAAGCCATGTTGTGATTTATTAAGAAAGTTTTTATTTATTTTCAATATAATGGACAATTTGTGCTAATTATTACAAAAATTACAGGTAAGTAATTACAACTCAATAACTCAAACTACAATCAAGTTCAGTTCACATTATTACATCTATATATGTGATTATAGAAAACAAAAACACAGACTAGAGTACTACAATGAAAATTAAAAGAATAGGATCATAAAGAAGATGCTAATTTTAAATATAGCTCACATTTGACGGTAATGTAAAAAAGAAACACAACAAAATATTGAAGGACAATAATGAAAATTACAGGAATAGTGGCAAAATAAAGAGAACATAAAAACATTAATTACTTAGTATAAGAAATCATTCCAATTT